GATTAATGTATAGTGTCTTTTTACCCTCTATAAATGTAAAACATTCAAATTCTTCAGTTATCAAGGCATTATCTCTAATTTGTTTTAATTTGTTGCCTTCAATCAAACACATTTCTACTGAATCACACGGTTTTCTTAATATATCCACAACTCTTGGTTGATCAGGCCAATTGTTAATGGATTTATTAAGATCCTTCTTTTCATCGTCATTCTTACTCTTACTTAACTCATTCAGCTTTTTCTTTTGCGCTCTGGTCATTACAGCCATTACTTGTTCATTCATACTTTTAAGTTCATCAGACGTTATACAAACTCTCGATAAAGCATCTGCTACAACATTGTCTCTTCCTTTCACATAGACTATTTTAAACTTATATTCTTCTAAAGTTAATCGAAATTTAAGTAATCTACTTGACGGATCTTTCATACCAAAAAGATATATTAATGGTTTGTGATCTGTCATTATGGTGAATTTGTTTCCATACAAGTATGGTCTGAAATACTTAACGGACCACACTATTGCCAAAAGTTCTTTTTGAATAGTTGGGTAGTTTCTTTCTGCTTTATTCAAGGGTCTACTGGCATATGCAACTGGTCTGAGATCTTTATTACATAATACAGAACCAATAGCAGTACCCGAGGCGTCTGTTTGTAAAATAAATTCATGATTTTCGGAAAAATCGGGATACTGTAAAATTGGTGATGATATTAAAGCATTTCTTAAAAATTCAAAAGCGTTTTGACATTCATCAGACCAAATAAATGGTTCATTTTTCCTACTTAACTTATTCAAAGGTATTGCTATATCCGAAAAATTTCTTATAAATTTACGATAATAGTTGCAGAATGCTACAAACCGTTTTACTTCATCTGCATTTTTGGGAGTAGGATAATTTCGTAATACTTTTGTTTTTTCTGGATCTGGTAAAACACCTTTTTCTGTAACCAAATGTCCTAAATAAAGAATTTCTTTCTTTAAAAATTCACATTTCTGAGGATTTAGTTTTAAATTTACTTTTCTCAATCTCTCCATGACAGTTATTAAATTTTTGTTATGGGAAGACAGATTTCTTCCAAATACAATGAGATCGTCCTGATATACTAAACATTTATCGTAAGTTAAACCAGACATCGCTACAGACATTATACGACTAAAGGCATTAGGGCTGATCTTTAAACCCATTGGTAAACGCTTCATGCAATATTGACCAGTATTTGTAGTGAAAGCTGTTAATTTACGACTATTAGGCTCTAAACTTACTTGATAGTAACCTTGGTGAAGGTCAAGATGAGTAAAATAAATGGCTCCAGTAAGCGTATCTAAAATTTCATTAATATTTGGTAGAGGAAATTTGTCGTCACAAATAACCTCGTTCAGTTTTCTGTAATCTACAACTAAACGCCATTTTTTCTCATTACCTTTGCTACTTTTCTTAGGTACTAATAATATTGGACTGGACCATTCACTATTTGACTCTTCGATTATATCATTTTCTAACATATTCTCAACTTGCTTAGTTATTTCTGGTTTTAATGCCTGTGGTAACCTATAAGGCTTGACGTAAACTGGAGTGGAGTTTTGTTTTAAAACAATAGATGGCTCATAAATATTAGTTGTCGTTAACTTATCTCCTTCCAAATGAAAAATGTCAGAATATTTTGCACAAATTGCTTCAATTGATTGTTTCGCTTCTCCGTCTAAATAATTTAAATTTAATTCAGATAGCAAAGTTTTAACCCTGGTAATGTCAATATTGGTCTTATTAAATTGACAAATATTATAATTATACAAACTTTTCAAATCTGGTGTGAAAGATGGCAAGTTTACTTCCTTGTCACTAACATTAAGTATTTTAACTGGAATTCTACTATTACTAACTGTAGTTATTGCGTTTGCTATAAAGACATCCTTCGTTAACTCTTTACTGCATACTACTACTTCTCCAGTTACATCCTCATTCACAATAATAAAATAAATTAATTCCGAGCGTGCTGGAATAATCATAGCTACTTTTTCTACTGGAAATGAGTTTTGACCTCGTCCACGGTTCCTAACATATCTAGAACCTCTATTTCCTCGTTGATTATTATATGAAGGACGATAATTTGCTCTAGAATTTCCGCTAGACCCTTGTCCTTGATTGTAGTGGTTATTAAATTTATGCCCACGATGGTAATTGTTACCATATTGACTACGGTAAATTCCTCTTTGACCTTGAGAACGTCTAAATTTGTGTACCGAGTGGTGTCCATTTTTAGATGAATACAAAATGTTACCTGGTGGTTGGAAAGACGTGCACTCCTCGTCTTTTGCTGCTTGTATGGCATCCTTCAAGCTGCTGAAGCCGCGTGCTAAGATGATGGTGCACATTTTTGCGCTACGCAGGCCATCTGAAAAACGTTTTATGGCAAAACTTTCATTGATTGGTTTTAAAATCGAGAATACTTCCTCTTTTCCGTCTGCCTGAGTAATTGTCAACTCTGTAAATAACGTTTCTACCTCCGTACCATAATCCTCAATGGATCTCGAGCCTTGTTGAATATTCTGAAGCTTCGTCTGTATAGCCATAAATTATTTTTTTTTTAAAACATATTTCCTAATATCATCAATTAATTCTTGGATAGTTTTGTATGAGCTTGCAATTCGTAATTTTGCATTTTCATTCAACCGACTTTTCAAAACAAAAGTAATTAATAATACTTTACCTGGGTTGTCCAGCATGTCAGCATACATCTCCACTGAGTCTATTAGGCGCTTAGTGGTGGCCTCTACACCGTCCATTACTGGAATCAAACTACACGCCACCTTTATGTCAAAATCCATTTTGCCTAAATCTACTGTAACGGGAAAAGTACACAATTTTTCTATTTCCTCGTACTTTTGTTTTATTTTCTGATAAAGATCTATTGCCGATTCCAAATTAATACCTTTACTTTTTTCAATAATTAAATATATTTTACAACAGTTTTCATATGCGCTTTTTGCTTGATCTAACCTAGTTGAAATAACATTACCCTTATATCTAGTTTGTCCCTTTTTTACTAAATAATTACGTATTTCTACTAAACAAACATAATTTTTTTCCAAAATATCAATCATAATATTCTTAATTTAATAATAGAATTGCACAAATGTAACACATTCTACATAAATGCGAAGAAAAAAAAGTCCGACGTTGCATTTTGTTTCCGTTTGGTGTCTTATTCCTGAATGTCCGCGCGCGGTTTTAGCACCTTTAGAATTATAGCGTTATGAAATATGATACCGCATAACTGGCTCACTCACTGATATTTATTATTTTTACGAAAAAAATTAACAACCCACAACTCTTATTTTCACTTTCACTATGCATTCACTTCTAATTACTGATTCTGGTTACCTTCTGTGCGCCCTCTGATGGATGATCTGATTCTCTGCATGGTACTCATCCCAATTTCCTGCTGGATCCATGTGCGGTGGCAGCTCCTGTACATCCGCAGGCCCACATAAACTGCTACGAGTCCAATAATGGCCAGAACAATATAGGTCACAATGCTAAGCCGCTCCACGTGGCCTCCGATTTCTTTCAACGTGGCGTCATTGTTGCCTCCAGCCGCGTTTAGGCTGAGGAAAACCTCTTCTTTTTCCACAGTTGACCGACACATTATAATATATTATTAAGTAGTTATTTAACTATACTAAACTAACAATCCCCTTGGCAGAATCATCCTGGCAGGGTCGCCATGTAATGTTGGGGTTCCTAATGAGTGTTATTCAAGGAAACAACCACATTAGTTACGTACTATTTAATGAATGCCTGGTAATAATCTAAAATAATGCATATAAGGTATAATGCAAACTCAGCATATATACAGTTATAAAGTAGCGTACTCACTTACTAAACTAAAGGAGCATACATATTAGACTTACACTTCAGCTCATAGCGCCATATTATAGCGCGCTATTTCTCCACAACACATAGCACGTGTTATGTATGCACTTTGGCGCTATTAAGTATTAATATCTAGCGGCAACTAGTTTTAGCAGCAGCGCTGTTGGGAGAGGACGTGTGACGTAAATTTGATCTAGTAGCACGCTATTCATCGCGCGCGACCTAATTTAGTGTTAGACGTTGTTTAGTTAGTGTATACTATATATTTATAAGTGATCGAATGACACAGTTGTCTGCTATAAAAAAGCCTAACTAATGTTTTAATTGTAAATAAAATATAGATACAAAATAGTTGATTTTGTAAATAGTTGATTTTATAAATACTATCAATAAACTTTTAAATATACCTTAATTGATTTATAATCTATATGAAGGTTAAAATAACGTTTACATACATTATAATAAAAAATTATTAATTTTCTTTCCTTTTAAAAAGTACATGCCTTAAAAATATTTTTAGGATTATAGAAAGTCGTAAGCCTGAAAAGTATGAAAAAGCGTTCATTGGTTTTTCTTTACCGATTTATTTTATTTTAGACTATAATGCGACTTATTACGAAGTAATGTTCTTGTATAGCACGTGGTCTATCCAATTAACGACAAGTAATGTAACGTGCTACGAGATGTAGCGTGCTGCAAAACTTAACGCGCTTGCCGGCCTCCTACACGCTTTCTTATAAATAGCTCGCTATAACATAGCGTATTTAATAGCGCGCTAGAAATTTATAGTTTATAGTCTTTAGCGTGCTATTGATTTATTGTTTTATAGTGGTTTTGAACAACTTTACATCATATGCACAAACTGGCACAAACTATAGAGTACTAACGATCATATTTATGGTAACAGCCGGGATTACTACAAAAAGTACTTTGTGGTTAGCATAGATTACTGAATATATACAGTGGTTAGTGACGAAAAAAAATCAAGATAAAGTACATACATCGTATAAATATTTTTAATTTATCAAATAACATTATTTATAATATAAATACGGAATCATAAAGTAAAAAACTTTATTAGAGTTAAAAGTTTCGAATCGAAGAAAATATTACTGCTAATTGTCTAAAATGTCTTACAACTATGAAGAACTTTCTTTGAGTGGTAAGTTGTATTTTTTTGGTATATTAGAGCAAACCTACTATATTCAATCCTTGGAGTAATTGTGTTCTGTGATTTAATCATATAATTTGTTCGAACGAACAACTTTTTTTAGCGCAAAATTGTTATGTACATATTAATTTTTAGGTATAGCTTAATTAGAATTACAGATATTATTATTCATATAATATGTTTGTGATTGATTTATAATTAAAGGTTCATACTATTCTTTTAGAAATCATAGATTTAATGCGACAATGGCGCGAAAATAATGAGAGAAAAAGTGAGGACATCATGGAACTTTGGTTAAATGTTTTAGAAACTAATCTTAATAATTATGGCAATGAAAGTAAGTTGAGTAATAATTATTATTTACTATGTCTTATTACAATTTGTACTTATCTACTTAGTATTTAATAATACTACCATTACCATTACAGCTTTCCAGCAGTCCACTACTGAACATAGACCTCCCACATAGATGCCTCATAAGGGGGATATTTGCCATAGTTGGCACGCTTGGCAAGTGTGTTGGCAACCACATTTTTATTTTTTATTGTTATTAGGAAGATGCTGTTGCCCATCTCCTGATTTTTTTACCTTTGTTGCCTCTTATGACATCCACAGAAGATATGGGGTAGAGGATATTCTTACTCACTACTACATGGGCTATAATGTAGTATAAAATATTATTTAAACATACAAGTGTAGGAGGGGGGGGGCAAGAATAGGTGCACCTGTACCTACACATGATGCATTGCTAAATAACAAAAAAACTTAGATGATAAGTCTATACCAATTTGTTTTCTGATTCTGAATAACTGTAAGTTAAAGTCACTGCTGATTTATGTCTCACTGCTTCGTAGAGGTCTTCTCCCATTTCTGAAAGGATTATGGAGCAAATGGCATCAATTCACAAGACTAGAGGAAACCTAGATGACAAATATATTTTTTTTATTTTGTCATCTAGGTTTCCTCACAATGTTTTTCTTCATCGGAGAGCATGTGATAAATCAGCACTTAATATTGCAAGAAACATTTTCATTGCTGCTGGCAGCCTCAAACCTAGACTTGACAATGATCGAATAACAACTAAATTTCCATATTTATAATATATATTATTATTTGCTAGCTGGTACCCAGTGTGTTGCTGTTGCAGAAGATTTAATTAATATTATTAAATATTATTAATTGAAATTAAATTATATAAAACTTTCAAATGTCTGTATGTTACGCGTGTCATTTACTGTAATTTAATTGTACTATTCCTGTAACTGCTGAACATAGGCCTTTGTTCAGAAGTGGACTTATGAACGGCTGTAATGATGATGATGCCTATAACCTTGCACAAGTGCAAGCAATATGTTGACGAAGTTTCGGTATGGTATTGCATAAAATATGAACAGAATATTATTTTTTATATATTAGAGAATTGATAAGGGTGTATATTTGTATAAGCCTATATGGTTTGATCCCCCTTCTTATTCATTGAAAGATTCTACTATCAGGATTAAAACAGAACTTGAATAAAAAAAAATTCAATAACATTATTACTTTTACTTTTACAGAATATGTATTATTAGAGCAAATAATTTATGCGGCACTTGACTGTCATCAATATGGAGTAGCTAATGCACTGATATACTTATTATCAATGGAATTCCCAGGAAGCTTGAGAGTTATGCGTTATAAATCAGCATTACTTGAAGCTGAGGAGAAGTTAGTAGTTTAATATTTTTTTATTTATTATTTACATAAACAGCTGTTCAGCTAATGTTTTTAATGTATTAACTTTCACTGCACTCATGTTTGTCAAATCTACTTTTGAAGTTATTTACAATAGAAGCATTTATAACAATTTCATGAAAATTTCGATTGATTAATTACCTGGTTTGATAAAAAGTGGCACTGTGGATGTCTTTAACACTAATTCCACTGTGTTCACATTTCTAGTACAGGGTTTGTCAATTCGCTTGCCAAGAGTTCAATTATGGCAAATTCTACCTGTAATGAGACTTCTGTTCGGTCCGGTGGTATAAATTAAGAAGAAAAAGCATGGATAAAACCAAATATTGCACAAGTAACTATGTCATTTTGGAATAAAGGCAATTAGTGTCAGTATCAACTTTACAGTCCTCTGTTTGGAATGGCCCATTATGGTTAAAAATGTTTATTCTCAAAAAGAAATATACATTTAAAAGGCATAATCAAATACTCGGCTATCGAATTATTGATCCCTATTCTAGAAATATTAGTAGACAGTACCACTTTTCTTACCATAAGTTCTTCTTCCTGTGTTGTACAAAATCAGCGAGACCAAATAGGGTGATATAAACTCTTACATTGCTTCCTTACTTATCCTAAGTTATTTGAGGTTGGCATAGCATGTCTTTTTATTACGTTTTCCTCCATTAGCCGTCTTCTCACTCATTACTTAAGCTTATCATCCCTGATGCCGGTTGTACACGCTCGTCGAGACACCATGAGACAGGCCTAGAGGTGAGCGTTATTTAACATAATCGGTTTCAGAAACTGCTTACGAGCCTGATAATCGTATATCCAGTTTCGTGATAAAAAATGTAACGATTATTTTACGTACGCAGTTGACACACACAATGACCGGCGTAAGCGTTTCGTCTTGAACAGATTTTTACTAAGATGAATATAGGTACGTAACACGATATACGACTCGCACAATGAGAGTAAAGAGTCCCTTCGAGATAGGTAATGGCTTACACGCAAGATGTGGATCATAAAAATTATGTGATGTGAAGGACAATAATACTTAGGTACTTACATATTTTGTGACTATAAAATTGTACCAAAGTACTAATATTGACGATGTCGCGCGCGTATTATGATACCTATAAACTGTTATATATTCGTAATCATATCATAACACAGTTAAACTAATGTTATAATACCTATAACCTGTTAATATTTTCGTCATCATAACCTAACACAAACTAACCAGGCCAGGCGTCCAGATAAAGCCGGACACAGTCAGGCTTTTTGTTTGCGTGTCCGGCCAAATTAGACGGTGTCCGGGCCTGTCCGGCATTTGTCAGTCTTTTTATATTTGACCATTTTTTTTACATTTTTCATGTACTTAAATACATACTATTGCAATTATTGAAACTAATATTGTAATGAATATTGAATGATAAATGACACTGATTCTTTTAATTTAAGATTTTATGGTAAATGATAATAAGCATTGTTTTACTTTAAAAAATATATTATCGTGTTATATTAAGACTGAATAATTAAGGGTGTCCGGCCTTTTTACCAAAAAGTCTGGCTAAGCTGGATGGTCTGTTCGGCTTTTCGGTTTAAAGACCTGGTAACCCTAGATGTGTGTAGCTCATGGCGGCTGAACACGCTCGTCTCGTCGCCTTGTGTGCCTCTCGTCACGTAAAGGCTCGACACGAGAACACACCATGTACACACTCGTTGTATCATTTGAAGTTTGAACTCCATATGCCCGCTGAGATGGACCTAGATAAAACTGTTGCTGCGTTTTGCCTTTGAGCTATTATAATTTTTTACACATTTATTAAAAATAAAATTAATACCCCATTGCTAAGAAGGAGATGGTGTATAGTTTCTATTAATTTACCGTAACAGTACCATGTACGGTGAATATAATAGTGTATGGCTTGTGGCTTGCGCCACGAAAGATGAACAGTGCGGTGCGGTATGAAATACGGGGAAGCGAAACCATAGCAACGTGCGACGGGCTAGCCTCACGTAGTGTCTCCCAGCGTCCAGTCGCCCGCGCACATACTTCGTCGTCTTGCGTACTATCGATATCGAAAGTGTTAGAGATTACCTGTTATACAATATTTAAAAAAATATAAATAAAGTAAATAATTATTCAATAAACCTGGCACAAAAGACTTAAATATTGATATCGGTATTAAGAGTATGAAATATTTTATGAGATTTGTAAAAATTAGCTGGATCTATTGAAAGATGACTGTAATCATGTAAGGAAAAAGAGAGGTTCAACTAGTCCCGGAAAAACACATGTTTCTTCGTAAATTTAAGTACATATATATTTTAAATGAAAATAAAAAAAAAACAATAACATCATTAAACACTGTATTTAATAAACTTTCTAACAGTGTATTACACTTCTTTATACAATATCATCAAAAAAAAGTTATCAACAATAAAATCACGTATGTCGTCTTGAGACAAAACAGAAATTACAAATACAAAATATTTTACTTCTTTAACTAAGTGTACACAAAATACAGAATATTATTTAGCAGCAATTAAAACCTAAAGATTATATATAAGTGCGTTTTCGTGGAGAATTTGATGTGTAGTTATAATGTCGACCTTTGACTTTTTACATATTAAAATGTCATAATAAAGTTTGCATTTTTCTGTTTGATTATACATGCGCAGTGGACGCTAAGTAATATCATCATTCGCTCTCGTTTTCATCGCGATACCTACGAGACCCTTTGACTCGAGCGCAAAAAACCGACACGCTTCCGAGAGCGCACGAGGGCCACGAGACGCGACGCGACGCGACGAGTGCACCCTGTACACACTCGTACTCGGCCTGTCTAGACATGGGTCGTAACATCTTTTGGACGTAATCGGTTGTACGTAGTTTCGTGGATATGAGTAACTAGTTTCAAAACGACTTATTTTTGTAATTAGTTACATCTGTATACAGTATAGCGTAGGTTAGTTTTGCGTTTGTGTTGTGTTATGATTAAAAAAAAATCTTGTAAATATAGTAAATATAAGAAATCATTATTATAATCTTGTGAAGACTGTCAATAGATTTCTTATGCATGTATTGTTCACTCCCACATACACTGTCGATTGCCTCATAGAGCCATAGTTTTTATTTATTTAGGGGAAACATACAGCTATAATGATACATAATTTATGTTTTAACCTTTTGAGCGCCACGCCAAAAACGCATTACGGTGTCCTGTACGCCAAAGCGAAAAGTAAACAAAAATACCTAGGAAAAAAATAGTGTTGCCAAGAGTTGATATATCGATATTTCATATATTTTATGCAATAAATGACTCTTTATAATCTGGTATGTTTTATTTAATCTTGTACTGTCTTCCACTTTTTTATATATGTACTTTGTAGATAAATAAAAATAAACAATAACAATAAAATAGTAGTAAACCACAACACTACTCTTCATCGTGATGACGTCACTGTCACGACTGGACCACAACGGCGTAGCTGACCTTCCTTTTTGATACTTTTTTAGAGATGTAGCCATGACGCACGTTATGTATCGATTTCCGAATCGATCTAACCAAAATATACAGAGATCGACTCAAAATATTTTATGTGTCGGGGGAGGCGTAGCCCAAGCGAAGCACAGAAGAAGTCTTACGCTCTTATGACAATGGGGGTTTGATAAGATGCTGATGCTACTACATGATTTTGAGATAATCATAATCTTTATTGCAATCAAATGGTAACAATAGAATTTGGAATTTTTATAGAATTTGGAATAAAAAATAGTCCGCATTTGAACCCAGTTTGGGCGTAGCAATTATAAAAATATTAAATATTATTTTAAAAATACAGGATTTCATTAATAAATTACATTATTAGATTATATTATTTTGAAATCATGTAAATTTAATTAAATTAATAATTACAATGTTAAGTATAAAAATAATTACTATTATTATAAATAAAAAATAAGTAAAAAATAATAATTGAATAAAAAAAATTGATAGGCACAGGCCGAAGTTCTCCACACAAATTAAATAACATTTGTACCAAAATATTCTTTTAAATTTTAGAAATATTTTTCAATTAAATATAACTTTAATTTGGATAAAAATAATGTAGTACTAGTTAAATTTATTATGTCATTTGGAAGGTTATTAAAAAAAATTACCGCCATACAGTAGGGACTAGAGCTATACAAAGCAAGAGTAGATTTCGGCAATAGTAGCTTATTTTTATATGGTCTAATTGAGTATTTCTAATTTGTTTCACTTAATTTGGTAAATAGTTTGGGTGGTTTTTTTTTACAAATTTGCATGTTTCCGAAATATAAATAGACGTCAAAGTCAAAATTTTAAGCTTTTTGAAGTGGCGCTTACAAAACTTTCTGGAATTTTTATGTTTGCCAAGATTCTTATAATTTTTTTTGCATTATAAATAATTACTGTGCATCTTTACTATTTTCCCACAACATGACACCGTATGACAGCTACGAAGAAGTGTATGCGTAATATGCTGACAGAGCGCTGGGGACATCTGTGGTTTTCTTTATTTCTCGTAATACGTAAGTGAATTTTGATAGCCTATTTTTTACTTTATTTATATGGGCTTTCCAGTGTATATGGCAGTCGATTTCCAGGCCTAACAAGTTGAAGTTGTCAACAGTCCTATAGGTATATTATTATAAGTAAAAGCGATATTATTTAGTAGTGATTTTTGAACTGGTGAGAATTGCATAATTTTAGTTTTATTAAAATTAATCTCTAGATTGTGATGTGCCAGCCAACTTGTAACCTGGTTTAATTTATTATTTAAATTCTAGTCTTTTGTATGCGGAATAATAATGGAAATGTCATCAGCAAATATAATAGAGGTTACAGTCAATACCCTATATTGAGAAAGAAAGTCGCACAACATAAAATGTAAAATTGCTCGTAAAAAAATAAACGTTTATTATTTGTAATTTTATATTATTAAAATAAAAAAAAATC